TGCTCACCGCTGTGTCACACGTCATGATGGATTGCTTGGGGACACCAGATTTGCCTCCAGATTTCTAACCTCCTGCAGGGCTGGGTAACTCACAGACTGACATGGCCTTTATATGGGGAGTAAAAAGAAACACACTGATGTTTTTTTCCCCAATGGGCAACCAGTTTCCATGGTCTATGTTGTCTGCCTCCACAACACATATTTGATAAAAACAGAATTTATAAATTATCCTTGCATAATTTGCATCCAGTGCCTTATCACGCTGTTGTGATGTCTCAAAGTATTCCACAGAATTTTACTGTAAAGTGTAGTGACTGTGTATTTTTTAGGTGAATGCCGCAGCCAAGTTGTGCACAGCAATGTCCCATGACCACAGCGAATGACCACAGCTATGAAGTGAATTTACTTAGGGGATTATTGACCAGGACACTGGGAGAAACTTGCTTTACTTTTGAAAATGTGCTACAGAAACCGTAACATCCACCTGAACAGGCAGACGGGACGTCCATTTAATGTCTTCACTGAATGATAGCACTTCTGATAATGCAACGTTCCCCTTGTGCTATATTGAAGGGTCAGCCTGATGTATGAAATAAAAGTCCTGACATAAGCCTTGAATCCACGATCTTCTGACTTAGACGGGAGAGTGCTATCAAGTGAGCCAGGCTGAAACCTATGTCCTGCCTGTGGATATGACTACAAAAGGATTTCCCTTTGCACTAATCCTGATGGACTGTCCCAGATACCCTGCGTGCTGGTGAATGAGCTTATCCAGTACTGAGAGCACCAAGGCTTGCAAATCCTGGGTGGACTCAAGAGCATCAAACAATTTTCCAACTAACATCATGGAATTGAGTTCACAATTTGAGTCGAGGGCTGTTTTGGCTCGGGGCAGCTAATGTCCAAGCAGGAGTGCGGAACGCGTTGCATTGCTGGTGACGCTCGGGTTATGAAGGCGGGCGCACAGGCTTGGAAGAACAAAGAGAGCAGATGGTACCAGGTGCATCCAGAGCCAGAACAGGCCAAACACTCTGCTTGCTCCATCCATTGGAATGGCTGGCTGCTCCCTGGCAATGATTCCTTGCTAAATTATGCAGACCCATTGTTTGCAACACTGGGGCTGTTCAGCTCTGCGTTCACAAGAACTGTATCATCTTCGGAAAGGGAGCTGGGGTGGAAGAGAGAGATAAGTGGGGTCTCCTTGGAGCTGGGTGAGCTTGCCAATGGAATGTCAGAATCGAGGCAATCCTCTGTGTCGGTCAGGACGCTGCTGGTGACAGACCAGCCAGCTTGGCTCATCGGCAGAACTTGGAGGAACAGACCCGCTCGGCTGTGCAGAGTTCTTCTCATTTGGCTGTGCAAAAGTTGGCTGCAGCGTTTGCCAATGAATGCACCCCATAGTGGTATTTACTGTAAAGGGCTTTGAGATATTTCAACACTAAAGGAGTTTTATCAAATGTAAGTATTAATAAAACAATAATCTTTTTGTTTGACATGGCACCTTGCACACTGGAAGGAAGTCTCAAAGTCCTTCACGGGATATAAAGTAGAAGTGTAGTGCGTAAAGTATGCAATTTTTAGGCAGCCAATCTGGGCACAGCAACGCCTCACAAACAGCCATTAAGTGGATGATGAATTTTATCTGGGGGATTCTTGGCCAGGACACTGGGAGAAACTCCTTTCTTTTCGAACAGCCCCACAGGATCTTTACACGTCCCCCTGAACAGGCAGACAGGGCCTCAGTTTAACATCTCATCCAAAGGACGGTACCTCCGGCAATGCAGCGTTACCCCATGGAGTGTCAGCCTAGGCCGCATGTGCATTCAGCGTCTTGATGCAGGGCTTCAACCCACGACCTTCTGACTTCGGAAGGGCGAGTTCTCCCCAACTAAGCCACGCTGACGTCTATTTTTATTGAAGACTTGGAACTGAGCCAGCACAATGAGAAGGAGAGGGTTCTCGTGAGAAAGTCCGGGGCTATTTTACTTTTTTATTTCTGACGGCTATCTTATTCTATTTGTTTTCGGACAGCTCTTTCATCCCAGATCGCAGTGACAAATGAGCTGATCCGACGAAGCCCAAGCCAAGAGTCCAATTCATCTCCTTAAAAGTCCTGGCCGCCACCCAAGCAGTGTGATTTGAGCTCTGTCCGTCGAGGACGGCCATTAATTTATGCAGCGCTCCGGCAGAAATAGGATTTTAAAAGCAGTTTCTCTAGGATCTATAAGCTAAAAGGAACTGATCCCTGCCACCTGAGCTTAGAAGTAAATCATATCGGCTCCACTCTCTGCCACGCTCTGCACCCAGGACAGAAAGCACTGAATATCCTTGCCATTAATAAGGTGACAACTTGGTTGAAGATCCATTTAGTAAAAAGAGCTCAGCTCATCGTAAATTACAAATTAAACCTCTGTTAAATTGCCAGAGTGCTGTTCAAGGCACAGACTGATTACAGGGTGCCGAGTGAAAAATAAAAGTTCTCAAATTCGCATCAGTCAGAATCTTCCCTAGATATTTGTTGTTAACGTTTCTTCCCCGCTTTCCTCTCCTCCCGAGACTGTTGCTGTACTGTTCCCCAGGGACTGGCGAGTGTCCAAATGGCCAGTGTTCATTCCTGGGCTCACCCAGTGAGCGTAAGAGACGATTTAATTATACCACCATCGCAGATGAGGAATGTCACTGGGTTGAAAGCAGGAGCAGGAAGCTAAGTCAATTTGCCCTCTTTGGAGCCCAGGGACTATTCTACAACAACACATTACATTTATAGAGTGCCCTTCATTTCAGGAGGATGTCCCAAGGCGCTGGACAATGAGGTTTGCACCAGAGTAGTGGGTTGGAATCAGAAAAGGGCGGTGGGCAAGGCGGACGGAGGAGGGAAAATGAGCAAAGGCTCAGTCGAAAAGGAAAGTGAGATGGGCCTTGAAGTAAGTATGTAAGTAAGTTAGTTAGTTAGTTAGGTAGGTAGGCAGGCAGGTAGTTGACTCCAGTTAGTGGCTCCTTGAATATGTGTTTTGGAGCGGAGTTCTGGCTGTCATCAAGCCAAAAGAAATGGGAGTTTGTTTCTACTTCCTCCGCACCATGGAAACTGTGCCAACAGTGCCATCCGCAACAACATGCATGGTTAGCAGATTCCATTTGGGGCTCAGAGCTGTGACTGACACTATAGTATTAAAGTTCACTGTGGAGTCCACTGTTTGCCAATGGAAGAGGCTGAGGGAGGTCAATCAGACTCTAAGTCCTCGTGACAGTCTTCATTGTTCCCAAACAATAAAGCAGCCCTGACAAGTAAAACCCAGATCGGGGCTTTGATTCACAGTCGAGGCTGTCATTCCAGTCCAGCGCTGGGGGAGCATTGGACTGTCAGACGCTATTATTGGGGTGCATGGGCTTCATTGATTAACATACCATACGGTGAGATTGATGGCCATCAAGAAACATGTAAAGTGTTGAAGTCTAGCCCAGCTACTTTAATGAATTTTACCACCCTGCCTTCCCTCCCTCCCTCTCCGGGACCAGCTGACGTTCGTGTTTTGTTTGCAAACCACGAGCTAATGATACACGTCCCGGGTGCTGCCAAAATTCACCTCCGTGATCTGGCCTGTGTGCGCCGCTATTGGCATCAAAAAAATACAATATGCTTTTCCCTCTCTTTTCCTTTTTACAGCCTTTAATGGGTAGAATCGGCCGCACGCTGAACATCTTTCGGTTAGTGCAGCTTCGCTCTCCGCTTAGTGCTGCCCCCCGCCCTCCAACTCCGACTGTTGTGGTCCTGCCACCTTTCCCCCCTTCTCAACCCAATCCCCCCACACACCACCTTTTCTACTCCGACTCAGCCAGCCTCCACTATACCCTCCTCAGTCCTCCCCGCACCCACCTACCACTCAGTCCAACTCCTGCATGGATTGTCCTCTCCCCACTACCTCTCCAAACTGCTGCTAGGATTCGACATATGCCATGGGGATGTCCCTAGGATGTACCCACTGCTTTAAGCAGGAAAAGGGGCAATAAACATCCACAAACAGGCAACACCCGTGTCCATCGGCACAGCCAAGCGTGAGGTTGGCGTGACGTTCCACCTCAAGGTGACAATGAATGAACGTGGCTGAATCTAAACACCAAAACTACAAGTCGAGGCAACGCATTTTTGACGATTCCCCCCCAAAAATGTAAGTCTGTCTGTAAAGGGCTTTGTTTGATTTGCGACCTTGGTCTGTGACGAGGGAATCCTGCAGGAACCCAGGTTAGTCTGAGATGGACCTCCCAAGCTCCTCACGGACGCCAGGCTCCAGTGGGAAATCTCCTCCGTTCCCATGGAGTTACAAAGCTGTGACTGGGCTATGAGGGGCTGTGGAATACTGGGACTGTTCACTACAAACTAATCAATTTTCACAGATCACAAATCAGACCCAAAATCAGAATCATAGGTATTGATTAAATGGACTAGCTAGCTATATACACACACACTCAAACATATAGAGAGAGACACACACACACACGCTCAGACACGCACGCACATATAGATGCTTACATGCACACCTAGGCAATAGAAGAAAAGGGTAAAGATTCTGGGTTGCAAAAGGCAACCCCAAAACTTTTGCTACCCAGCACAGACACCAGGAAGTATTCTTTACCCAGAAGGTATTTAACAACTGGAACAGGTTATCAGGAAGGGTGGGTGAGGCCAGGACACTGGACTCATGTTAAAAAAAGCTTGGTGGTGTGATGGGGTGTTCTGGAAGGTTGAGATCAAATAGGCTTAACAGTCTCCATCTGAATCTCTTTTATGGTCGTGTGACACAAACACACATACACACACACCCAGAGACACACGGTCATTGATTGAATGGGCCAGTAAGCTACACATACACACGCACACTCTCTCGTACAAAGAAACACAAGCAACACAATTTGGTAGCTTGCCAGTTCAGGGGTTTCTTGCTCTCACTGGGGGCTAGTGAGTTTAAAGACACCTCTAAAGTACATAGTAAAGAGAGAATTACCTCCTCGGCCTTCACTGTCTGCAGGCTTCACCTGAATTGGACGATTCATCTGCAAAGTAAGAAAGAAACACCTATTAGATCATCGAGGTATAAGAACGGGCGAGGGTTAAGTTGATTCAGGTTTCTGCCGTACATTACGACTTTGAGTATTTCATTCCACAACACAGTTCAGAATCTATCTTCTGGGATGGGTGAACATCCCCTGTGCAAACACATACACATGCCCTTAATTCAGTAAGGGTGTTAGTTTGCTTGTTAATTCAATAATTCAAAGACACTGCACACGTGTATTTGCACATGGTTAAGCAAACCTTTAAATTTATGCATGGGTTGTTACCCAACCTGCAAATTGGACTCCTATTTCTGTAAATTTTTTTTGGGGGGTGATTAAATTGCAATACAATACAAATTTTACTTTTATATAGTCTTTCACATAAGGAGGTCTTACCAAAGCACTTAGTATTGGCTGGGCACGTGAGCTGGGGGTGGGAACCGAGGTGGGAGGGGATGAAGGAAACCAGCGTTGAAGAGTCGGGAATCATCCCCTTTATTCACTTGCTCTGAATACTGAGTACCTCAGCGAAAAGGAGAGGCGAGTTCAAAATCCTGACGTGAGGCTTGAACTTACAACCTTTTGGCTCGAAAATGAGAGTGCTAAGATCCTCAGAGTATCAAACATTTTTTTGTTCTTTATCTCCCCATTAACACAGTCTTGCTGAGTATACACCAGGGCTCACCCTCTTGTGGTACAGTCTCAAAAGAAACCATTGACTCCACTGCACACAGCGTCAGCCAGACGTCACCCATCAGTCTCTCTTGAGAATGGCTGCCAATGCTGTGCCACATTAGTGCCAACGCTGGAAGCTTTATGGTGCTATAAAGCCGCACTCAGTGGAAGTGAAGCAGGTTATCCACACATCTCACACTCTATCAAACAATGGATTGAGAGGATGCTTTTAACAAATTGCAGAGTGGTGCAGGCAAGAAAATGCGAGAGCCTAATGAGATGTCCTACGAGGTAAATTGGTTGAAATGATGAATTTTGGTATAATCGCCTGTTGCTCTACACACTTAAGAGTGCATTAAAGAGTTCCCATTCACCGCATCATTTCCACAATTAAACCTGCATTTTTCTTTTTCAGAATTAATATTTCATGCCAGGATAATAGAACACATCCCTCTCCACAAACACACGCACGCACGCACACACACACACACACACACAGGCATCTGCATGTGCGCCCATTTACACGCACCAATTCACGGCTGCCCAAAGCAATTCCTTAAACTATCATAAATTCTTTATTTAAAATTAATCTTCTCTAATGCCTGTTTTTCCACTGACACTTCTCATTTTCGAGGAAAAGTGAATAATTCATTCAGGAATTAATCCTGACTGCGATTCACCGACAGAGCAAAATAAGGATCTTCTAGACAGTCTGTTGCGGGTAAATCGACTGGAGGGGGGGGGGTGGGGGAATGTGACCGGAGATGGAGGTGACTCCTGCACTCTGTTGCGTGAGATATTAATCATTATAAAAGCAAATTATCATAATAACAAATGATAATGCAATTTATTACCTTTAAGAGGAATTGTTTGCTGTGAATTTGCAATTCGTTTGTCAGTTAAAATTTACTTCACATCCAGACTGAAATATTAACTTGCATCCTGCTGCCCAGATTGATACAACTCTGGCTTCATTTCAAAAATGAACATTTGAACATCCAGTCACTTCTAAACTAAAATAATAACAATGATAATAATAATCCGTGCATTTGGCACAGCACATTTCACATCGGGAGAGTGTTGCAAAGCGAACTATAGTGACTATGTATTTGCAGGTGAATGCGGCAACCCATTTGCACACAGCAACGTCTCACAAACAGCCATAAAGTGAATGACCAGTTTTGTTTGGGGGATGGTTGGCCAGGGCACTGGGACAAACTCCATTCTCTTTTCAAGTAGTGCCATGGTATCGTTAACATCCGCCTGAACAAGCAGGTGGAATTTTAGGTTAACAGCTCATCTGAAACTCCAATAAATATCTCACATCGTATGAGGTACACATGAACACCGTGATAAGGCGCTATCACAAATGTCAGGAATAAATTATTAATAAATTATTAATCATTATTATTATGAAGTTGTGGCTATTCATTTGCATAAGGATTCTTTTATAATCGCTTTAACAGATCACAGATGTCTGGGTATAGATAGGGAAAGGATTCGAAGAGATAAAATCACTGCATTGAATGTGACTTGTATTCCTTTCCATACCGCAATCTAAGTGACACAAGAGACAAGGAGGTCGTGTTTGGAGTGGCTGGTTCCTAAACAAAGCAACTTGGATCATTGTAATAACTAACAATACTTGGGGACATAATTGTTTCTCTGTTAGCATCAAGCAACAAAACACAATTTGCAAAATATTTTATTTGGAACCTTAGAAGTTGTTGGATCAATTCGATTGGGATTTGGAAAGAGGAAGAGCGAGAAAGAGAGCAAGGGCAAGAGAGAAAGAGAGAGTGAAAGAAGCAAGAATCCTTCTGATTATCAGGATGGCAGGTTCCCTGCCTTACAGAGCTGAGCTGTCTCACTGCAGTGCAGCAATCAAACTCCTGGCTCCAATCAAGAGTCCAGTGTCTCTGAAAACTGGATCAACAAGCTCTAACTAACCCCAGTTATTTACTTCTCCCATTCATTCCTTTGCAAAATGTTCATCCTATTCCTTTTTTTATATAATGTCGGCAATGGACTCAGCTTCAAAAGGCACTTGTGGCAAACCACTGGATGGTTAACCTCCTTAATATGTCAATGTGATGCTCATTAAGTAATTAGGCAGACTGGGGAAATGCATTCTACCCACTTAGCTCCTGTTAACCCAGCAAAGCCAGACCCCAATGGGTAAAGATGAGCAGTGGGAAGCGTGACAGAGAGTGCTTTCAGTGGCAAGCTATGCCGTTGTTATTGGTTAAATTCCGGGAGTCACCCCAATGCACAATTTGGGGGCCACAAGCCTTGGTCCTTTCCAACCAGCACCTAATAATCTCTGGGTTTGGATAACCAGGGTTTAACAATGTGTGTCCCTCCAGGGATAGCAACAATGCATTTTGTTCCTGAGACGGGGCAATTTCCAGGCTTACAAATCATAGGATCATAGAAAAGTTCAGCACAGAATGGAGGCCATTTGGCCCATTGTGCCTGTGCCGGCTCTTTGGAAGAGCCGCCCAATCAGTCCCATTCCCCTGAGGAACTCTCAGTCTGCTGTGGATAATCTTAAGCCCCGTGATGGATTTCTGCATGTGTCAGACGTCTGGCTATCCAAACAAAGGCAATTAGTACGAAATTTGCAAATTTTGCCCCAACGTCCCTGGTTATTTTTTTTACCACATCAAATTAGTTAAGAGACACCCCTCCACCCCCCCACACACACATTGAAATATTTTATTTGGAACCTTAGAAGTTGTTGGACGTGCTTCCTGTCACAACAGATTGAGTGTAACACTTGCCTGTGGCACATCACTGTCATGTTTGCGGGAGCTCAACAGAGCGAAAAGCAACTCTGCCTGGTGATCGCTTGCTTTTCAGATACAGGTTCTCTGTAGACTTGGAGGAGATGATTTTCAGGGCGAAGATTCAAGACAGGCGCGAGCCTGCATGGATTTTGCTGGAATGGGTTTCAGGACTGAATAATGGATTGTTGGCTCTGCCGGGTGCCAGATCAGCACATGTTAATTTCTGTTTGACAAGTGTGTTTGAGTGCAAATGGCTGACTGACTGGTTTTGGACAGCGGAAGACAAACATCCCCCTGGGATCAGCGTGCCATGCTTGTGCATTACTTTTGGAGGTCCAACACGCTGCGTTGCCAAGTGGTAAGACACAGTTCACCCCAGAGACCCTTCGCGAGGGGGAATGTTGCATCAATCTCTCCGTTGAAGGGATGAGCAAGGTAGCATCTCCTGACCGTAGAGAAGGGCATTGAAAGAAAGTCACAAGAGGTGTTCAGACTTGCATGCATGTTAAAACCAGAAAGTCGGTCATTTGGCTAATCTTCTCAGTCAACGTGTGGTATGTGTTGGCCAAAGAGGTACAACTGATGGCAAGGAATAATCGAAAGATGTTGGAAAAATAAATGAGGATTCAAGCATCAGTCAAATAGGTTTAGATGATTCCGATTTTTGTCCGTTGTGAAAAGGTCACATTGTGAAAGCTGGGACCTAATTTGCAGTGCTTCTTAACAGGAATCCTTAGTGAGGAATCCAAGCATGTAAATGGGGACTCCTTCGCAAACCAGAATTACATTACTCCAATCCACAGGAACTCTACTCTGATTCAATCTGCTTCTAGTGCAGAGCTCCCACTGGGCGAAATGCATTCCCACTGAATGATTGCTTATGATGATATAAAAATCCTTAAATTTGATATAGCACCTTATCACATCATCAAAGCACGTAGAGTCTCAACGTGCTTTTTAAGGAATGCAGCTGGTGGAACATTTAGGAATGAACTTCTTCAATTGCTATTTGTAATTCAAGGAAGGACAGTGGTCAGGAATGAATCTTGTGTTGTGAGAAAACTGAAACATGCCGACAATCTTGAAGTTCTAGGAAGAGTAGTTGAAGCCAGGAATCTAGACACAACTGAGAAATAGGTTGATGCTGAAATGAGAAGATGGCAGGAAAGGTATTTTGGACGATTGAGATCAAATAAGAACCTTTACCTCTGGACGAATCTAGATGTGGCAGTGGATTGAATCAGTAGATGTGATAACTCATTCTTTTTGTCAAACCTCAAAGTACAAATGAATCCTGATCCCAATATAACTGTTGAGTATCAGACAGTTCTGCCCAAAGGGTGAAGGGAGTACTCAATCTTAACTCCAAGACTTTTGATCAACAAGTTGCCTCAAACGATAAGAAAATGAACCATTAAGTTCCCACCGGAGATCGAAATGGCAAAGGTTTACTCAATTAGATGCATCAAAATATTCAATGGAGAGTTAGCATTCCAACTGGACATTAAAGAAAAGAATCTAAACTGGACAGCC